GTGTGTGTGTGTGTGTGTGCGTGTGTGCGTGAGTGTGTGTGCGTGCGTGCGTGCACACGTGTGTGCGTGTGCGTGTGTGTGTGTGCGCACGTGTGCATGTGTGTGTGTGTGTGCGCACGTGTGCATGTGTGTGTGTGTGTGTGTGTGTGTGTGTGTGTGTGCGTGTGCGCGCGCAAGCGTTTTGTGTGAAAGAGCTCATGCGCGCGGCGTGAACTTGTGCAGGTGGGGGAGAGAGTTTGGTGTGTGCGCAGCCGCCCTCGATACAGGCGGACTGCCGGATGTGGCTAAGGCTAGGTCACAGTTTCAAGGGGGTCGAAGGCGGTGGTGCGTGGGGGCGAGGGGGGCTAGTGCGGCCGCTGCTCGCGGGGGCGGCGCTGATCGCCTGCGGTCTGCCAGCAGCCGCCCTTCGCTGACCCCAGCTGCCGCTGGCGGCCGGCCGCGAGTCAAGGCGGCCAGGGCAGCCGGGGAACAGCAACACACGAGTAGAGCCCCAAAAGTATTGGCAGCCCAGGTGCGAATCTCACCCCCGTCTCTGCCCCCAAGACAGCAGCCACCCCACATCCTGCACGTCCCCATGCCCAAACCCCCTCCCCCACGCCCCCGCCCCCAATTGCCCAACCTGGACTCGACCCAGGCCGCAACTCGCTGCAGCGGGTGCCTCATATCAAACGTAACACTCCCAAGCTTGGCTGCCGCTGCCGCCGCCGCCGCCGCCGCAGCGCTGCCGCCGCCGCCGCTGTGCAGCGCCGCGCCCGGGCCCGCACCCACGCTGACGCCGGTGCCGGTCGCGCCATAGCTGCCGCTGCTGTTGCCGCTGCCCTCGACTGCTGCATACATCGCATATTTTGGCATCTCCATTTCGATTTCAAACACATGGAACCAGCTGCTGCCCTGGGGCGAGGTGTTTGTGACAGTTTGGATTCGGCAGGTTGATGTGCGTTTGGGGGTGGGGACAGGGGGGGACACAGGTGCGGAGACTGAGAGACAAACATGAGCCTGCGCATGCGCTCACGCATGCATCGCAGTGTAGTTGGCAGGCACTGCACGTGCTGGCACAAATTGCAGACATCACGGGCGTACACATGCACAGAAATACACATGCACAGAAACTCACACACACGATGCACTTTGGCGGTCGGCCTCGCGGCACCCGCTCTCATCTGAGACTCGACATGGCCCCCGCACCTTGGTGCCAACGAGCGCCTTGATCATGAGCACGACGGGCGCGTCCCGCGCCGGCGCCAGCGGCACGGTCAGCGTCCGCTCTGGCTCCGCGGGCACCGACAGCAGTGACTCCCCCTCAAACACCTGCTCCCCAAAGATCATGGCGGCCTGCACACTCGCAGGCGGCGAAGGGGGGGGTCCATGTTGTTTGCGTCCGGACGAGCACGACTGACAAGCTTGCGCAAGGGGGGCAGTGCGCAACGAAGGCCAGGAGCCACGCAGGTTTGCCAAGGGGCTCATGCCAGCGGCGTCATCCGGAGCCCAGGGTGCGGCGGCGCGCCTACCCGTCGCCCGGTGAACCTCGCCCTTGGGCCGCCTCCCTTGCAAAATAACCCACGCATCAACGTGCTCATCAACGCAGTCAGGCCCCCTCCCCGCCCACCTTGATGACCGAGTCATTGGTCGTGCTGAGCGTCAGCTCGCACACGAGGCTGGCCTTGTTTATGGTGATCGCGCTGTCGACGCGCGTGTCCGGCGGCAGCGCGGCCGCCGCCGCAGCCGCCGCGCCGCCGCCCGCGCCGCCGCCACCGCCGGGGTCGGGGCCAGCCGACAGGTAGCCCGCCAGCTCGTGCATGAGCTCCTGCGATCGCAGCAGTAAATGGCACGTGCAGCGGCGCGTGGGGGCCTCGGCGCAGTATTGCAGCCGTGCCGGCGGCTGCTCGGCAGATGCTTGGCGCTTCAGATGCCGTGAGGCGACTTTGCAGCAGGGACAAGCTGCTGCCGCCGGTGCTGCTGCTGCTGCTGCTGCCGCTGCTGCTGCCGCCGCCGCCGCTGCTCCTGCTGCCGCCGCCGCCGCCGCTGCTTTTCTGATCCTTCCTCAGGCTGCGGCCCACCCTCTGCACATTTTAGAGGTGCACCACATGCCCGCCCGCCTTGGCGTCGGCAGGGGGGGACACCACACCACACCACACCACACCACGGCCGCGCCCGGTCACCAGAAAGCAGCACGCGCCCGCCCGCCCCCACCTGCTTTTTCTGCGCCAGGTCAACCAGCGCGCGCTGCTGCATGGATATGTCCCCCGCGTCAACATGCAGCTCGTCAGACTGTGTCGCATAGCCGCGCACCTGGGCAGAAGTGCACAGGCACGTAAGAATGAGCGGCGCCGCGGGGCGCGGCGGTGCGGGGGGAAGGGGGGGGGCCGTCAGTGCAAGGGCGCAGGGAGTGAAGGTGACTCGGAACACAGGTGCGGTGCTTGCTGCCTCTGTGATCATGGGCGCTGAGGCCCGGCAGCAGCCCCCGCCTTCCTGGAGTGCCTGGACTGCCTGGACTGCCTGGGTTGCCTGCTCTCCTGCCTGCCTGCCTGCCTGCCTGCCTGCCTGCCTGCCTGCCTGCCTGCCTGCCTGCCTGCCTGCCTGCCTGCCTGCCTGCGCAAATATTAGATCAATAAAATCTGCACACACACACACACACACACACACAATTTCTCTCTGTCCGTCTCACCCCACCGCCCCTCCCTCCGGCCCGCCTCCCTCTCGCGCTCCTCCTTCTCTCCCCCGATCCCTCCCCTCCTCTTCCCCCACTCTCGCATGCTTCCCTCAGCGACCCCCGCAGCCCACCTCCCCCTGCGTCCCCACAGCCACCAGCTCCTCAGACCCCAGGCCCCGCAGGTCGCCCCGCAGCAGCGCCGCCACCGCCGCCCCCAGCGAGTCGCGGTGCACCACCTCGCCCGTCACAGCGTGCCGGGCCTCGACCTGTTTTGGGGGAGGCGAGAGAGGATGCGGGGTCTCGCGGGTTGAGTTTGGGGCTCAGGGTCCAAGGGGGCATGCGGCTGAAGGGGAGGGGGGAGGGAACGGGCGGCGCGGAATTTTGGTGCCGGCGGCAGGCTTCCGGGGACCAGTTGGCGTGGTTGCGGTTTGCTGCCCCTTAATCTGATTGCCACGTGCAACCTGCGACGGGATGCGCCGCCGGCTGCGCCCTGTTTCGAGCACGCGTCGCGTCGGCGGCCCCGACTGGGCTGCGCGGCGGTGCCCAAACAACCTGCCTCGTTCCCTGCCTCCAAACGGCCGCCCGCCGCGCAGGCAGCGGCTGCTGCGCCGCGACGGACCGGGCGCGGTCAAACATGTGCGCGTCGCGCCGCACCCTGCCGTTTGACCAGCCGCTGACGAGCTCCGGCTGCCCATCCCCATCCAGGTCAAACGCGAGGATGCCCGCCACGCTGTGCTTGCTCTTCACGCGCCAAAGCCGCGTGGTGCCGTCGTACACGCCGATCGTGCCGTTGCGCAGCGCGTACGCGAAGCGGGGGCCGCCCAGGTGCGCGAGGCCGGTGATCTGATCTGCCTCTGTGATCTGCAAGATCAGGTCCTCGTCTTTGAATATTCGGATCTCAAAGTCGTCGCAGCCGACCTGCGGGGCAGGAGGCGGGGCGGCAGGGTCGGGCGCGGCCTCATGGCTGTCATGCATGCCGCGGCTGCGCGGCCTGGAGCTGATTCAACCGGCGACGCACATGCTGCGGCGCGATCGCGCTCCCCGTCGCGCGCCCGCCGTCTGCGCCGGCGGCGGCCGGGGCCCATGGCTGGAGCCGCGTTCGCAGGCGGGCGCTGGAAATGTGCCCCCGCCCGCGCGCCGCCCCTCCCCTCCGCTCCCCGCCGCGCCGCCCCACCAGCAGCTCGTTGCGGCCGTCCCCGTCGATGTCGGCCAGCGCCAGCGCGGACACCACGTCACCGGTGACGCTCCAGAACACGTCGTTGCCATCAGAGTCAAACCCCTGGGCGGAGGTTTTCGGCGCATCGACGGACACGCGGAGGATTGCCCGTCACGCCGTGTCACTGGCTGCGTGCGGCCCGCGGTCGGGGGCGGCCGCAGCGGCCGCGGCGCGAGGCCGCCGCGCCGACGGGCCCTCGCATCGCGCATTTGCTCCTGCACTCAGGCGCGCCGCCCGCTGTTCACGCTGGGCCACATTTCGCCCCGCCGCGCCGCGCCGACCTGCACCGAGCAGTTGCCGCCCACGATGGCGAGGGGCCGGGTGTAGCTGCCATAGCTGCCGGCCACGACGCAGCTCACGCCTTCGGAGATATCTTTGAAGAAGAGGTCTCTGGGGGGCGGGGGACAGGGGCAGGCAGGGGCGCGCGGGGTGAAGGGCACCGACACTGGTCACCCAGCGCTGCATGTACAACCCTGTCGGGCCTGCAGATGTGTCGCGCCGTCCGCTGCAGGCTCCGGCTGCTTCAGCCCGGCGCCGGCGCCGGGCCTTCCTGCGCCGCCGCCCGCGCGCTGGCGCTGTCCGGAGCTGCGCGCCCCGCAGCGTGGCCGGTCTGGACTGGACCGGTCTGGGCTGATCTGGTCTACTCTGGTCGCACGCCTGACCTGTTTCTCTCGATGTCGTAGCACTGCAGGGTGTTGGGGGATCCGATCAACAGAACGTCCCGCGTGCTGCTTGGCAGGATGGCGCCTGCAACGCAGGCGCCGAACCGAGAGACACAATCGAAGCTTCTCACAAACATCAAGGCGCCACCGCGACAGCCACGCTTCGGTCCGCGCCTGCGCCTCTAGGGCGGCACACGCACCAGTGTGCACAGCCTACGGCCTACATTACGCTGGCCTCTTAGGCGCTCGACGCCGCCCCCTGGGCCTGAACCGTCCCATTGGCCGCTGCGTGGGACGGGTTGCGCGTGCGCCTCTCTTACCTGCCACCAGCGCTGTGATCTGCTTGTTGATGTTCAGCAGCGCCAGCCGCTGGCCGCTGGGGTCGTGCGGGCTGTGCACGAACACCTTGCCGGCGTGTGTCGCGCCCGCCAGGCTGGCATGCTGCGCGTCGAAACGCCCAATGGTTGCAAGGCCCCGCTGCACTCGTTCTGCGTTTGCAGGTGCGCGAAGGCACAACCATTGCTGGTCACGTGGTGCGACGACATCGCAGGCAAGAGCGTGCACAAACAGCATCGCAGTGTGGCGCTTACCCTGCAGGTGCAGCTGGAACGCGGGTATCAACATGGTGCCGCTGCAGGTGTGGGCGCAATGCTGCGCCCGGGTTAAAATGCTCGCTGCTGCGCCGCGCGCCAAGGCTGGAGCCTCTGGCGCCACCCACAGCGCTTAACAATCCAAAACCACCTTCAAATTGCGCCTCTAATGCCTACATACGCCTGAACTCAAGGACATGATCTAGCAAACTGGTCAACGGCGGGAAGCATACATAGCGTAGATCCTGGAGTTTCATGAAAACCAACAACATTATCTCGCGGTTATCAGGTGCGCCGTCAGCTATTCAGGTCGGCTCCAGCTCCTGCTTATGTGTGCGTCAGACGGCTTCCGGGCGGGTGCCTCAACTGCCCCGTGGAATATGCGCGAGGTACAAGGAAAGTTGCCCGCATGTTATTTACATTTACCAGTACATCATACCAAACCAACACGCCGCACTCGCCCACCGATCGCACGACAGCACACAGCAGAGCAGAACCATGTCGAACCCGGTGCGCGAGCTCAGCTGTGGCGGCTCGCGAGATCTGCTGGCTTGACCGCGTTCATGCACCGCCCTTTGGCGGCGTCGGGCCTGTGATCTGTCCGGAGGTCATGGGCGTCTCGCGGCTTCTGCAGCCCATCTTTAAACTCGTTGACGGGCGCAATAGTAATATTGTTGTATCAGACGACATTTGGGGTAGGATGGCAGCGATCAGGGGCACGCAGGCGTGCTCGAGTGGCTTGCGCCAGCCCGCGATCTCACCCCCGCCCGTCATGGCGTCCCCCCTCCTGTTGGGTCGACAGGTGGTCTATTTCGACATTGAGGCCGACGGCCAGCCCCTGGGCCGCATTGAGATGCTGCTGCGTGCGGATGTGGTGCCCAAGACTGCGGAGAACTTCCGGGCCCTGTGCACTGGTGCGTCGCGCGGCAGCTGTGGCTCGGCGGTGTGCATCGTCAAGCCCAACGGGCTTGGTCCATAGGAGTGGGATCAGTGGGATGCTTTGGCACCGAGACTAGAGGCACACATACGCTCGCTGTCGTCTGTGTACCGCCACCTGTACGCGCCGCCACCCCCCCGCCGCTCTCGGCGTTGGTGCGCTGCAGGCGAGAAGGGCGTGGGTCGCTCGGGCAAGCCCCTGCACTTCAAGGGCTCCACCTTCCACCGCGTGATCAACGACTTCATGTGCCAGGGGTGAGTGGGCCGCCGCGGGTGCGCAGCAGCTGCTGCCTTCCAGGAGCAACGCATGCAACCGGCTAGGGGTTTCGGCGGCTGAACTGGAGGAGGCAGCAGCCGCAGCAGCAGCACGCTCTCTGACGCACAGCTGCCACCCGCGCACCCCCACTCGCGCACCCACACAGTGGTGACTTCACCGCCGGCAACGGTGAGTTTGCAGAGCCGCGATGCGGTCAGGGCAATGGACAGGCGCACCCAGCGGCTTGCGCCTGACCCGCGCAGCGCGGCGCCCGAAAGTCATGCCACCCGGCACCCCCCAAAAGTCGGGTGCTCCCAACAAAATGTCCTCTTGATGGGCAGCCATGCCTCTCCCACAAGCCGCCCATGTGCTGCAAGCACCTCACCCTTCACAACCATCGTGCCGTTGCCACGCAAGGCACCGGCGGCGAGTCAATCTATGGGTCAAAGTTCGCGGACGAGAACTTCACGCTCAAGCACACCGGTCCCGGTGGGTGCGCCGAAGCAAGGAGGGACGCCGGATGCGATCGCGCCACCCAGCTCCTTGCGCATCGGCCGAGCGGCTGTGCGCCCTTCTGAGGCTCCCTCCTCGCATGGCGGCCACCCCCACTGCCCGCAGGCGTCCTGTCCATGGCGAATGCCGGCCCCAACACAAACGGCTCTCAGGTGGGCTGCTGCCAGGCCTGGGCCCCCGCTTGCATTGCTTTCGGGCGTCCGCTGCCGAGGTGTGTTTGTACACGCTGCGCGCTTGCACGCTTCGCCTGCTCACCTTCCTCACGCCTCTGCCACCCCCACCAACGCTCCTGGTCATGACCCCGACCAATTGCCGCAGTTCTTCCTGTGCACTGTCAAGGTGAGGGGCGCGCCGTGCCGCGCGCACCATGCATCAGAAAGCCGCCACGGACCGCAGGCGGCGGGGCCCTCTCAGCTGGCGCCCGACGCGGCCCCATGCGTCCTCTTGCAACATGCCCCACATTCCATGCACACCCCAACGCCTGCTGACGCGGGCCGCCCTCCGTTGCATGCCTGCACTCCCCGGCAGACCGGGTGGCTGGACGGGAAGCACGTCGTGTTTGGCAACGTCAGGGACGACGCCAGCCTGGCGGTGGTGCGCAAGATCGAGGCCTACGGCAGCTCGTCCGGCCGCACCTCCAAGCGCATCGTCATCGCCGACTGCGGCCAGCTGTCGTAGAGCGCTGTCAGGGGGCCGCAGGTCCCTGCCGGCCCGCGCGCTGCCGCGGCGCGGCGCGGCGGCTGTGCCGTTTGGGCGCGGGTGTTAAGCCCGTGCTTGTGAGGGAAGAGTTGCCCATATTGTGTAAATCCTTCTTAGTGTACATGGGTGTCTCGTTGTTCACAAGGGGTGTAGCGGGCAGCCAGCGCGCAGGCCGGGCCTGATTGTCGTGTGGCTGGCGGTTGGGCAAGTGCCACTTAGTGCCACATGGCACCCGCGAGCTCTGCGGCCCACAGACAATGGTCCCGCCATCACCTGTGCACCTCGTCTAAACAAGAGCTTCCTGTTTCGGCATATCCTCAGACAGGGCGCTTCGCTACGTGGGGCCCAAAAGCTACTGCCGTAGCGCCTTCCTGGGGCGTCATGCCTCGCTACGCGTCACCCCCCCCCCCCCGTAAGATATGTCAGCCCAAGCACGGGGCTGCAGCTCACCGGATTTTGCACCCATCGACGGCAATTTGAGCAACCCAAGTATCATGCCAAAAGGGCGGTTTCTGTGGCTGCGATTTGCCAGGGGCGCTCACGGGTTGAGTCAGGTCCCCACGCACATCCCGCGGCTGGCCAACGAGATGACAGGTCTCGGTGTCAAGCTGGTGCCAAGGGCATGATGTACCGGAAGGCAGGGTTCCAAGTCGGGCGGAGAAGTACCAGCAGCACCACATTTTCGGTGTCTGCACCCAAATTTGCTCTGCGGGGGAACTCCCAGCCTTTTCGTGCGGAATGGGAATGTGCCCCGCGTTGGCACGACTTTGGTCCTCCAGCATAGCGAAATTTCTGATGAAGGGAATCGGCACCCCGTTATCTGGCAACCAATCAGGAACGCCGCATCGTCTTACTCGGGAGCTTCATGAGCTAGCACCCCGGCCACATCATCAAGTGCACCAGCACTTCGACGTCACTGAATATGAAAGAAGAAATTAATTCACTGATCGACTGTATTGAATTCGTGCAGCATGTTACCCCTGCTTAGTCAGTTCATCAAGAGTAACCCACAGAGTTTGGTCCATTCCAGACCCATATCGACTTTCATTTTGACACGTGCTAACCAGCCGGTCGTTGCCGATCCTTCAAAGCTTGATACAGCACCTGCAATCGTGGAACAGAGCCTCTGCAACCTTACGGGTGAGGCTGGCGGTCAGGCTCCGGCTTTGGGACGGCACAGCTGTCATTTTTTGGTATGCAAGCTCCTAGGCAAGCATGACTAGGGTGGCTGCGTGGGCTGTTGGCGGGTCTTGACCTTGTCACTCGTGAGTGCGGGCCCCCAGCCCAACCGCCCCGAAAAATGCGCTTGTAACACAGCATCCGCTCTTGATCTGAACCGTGTGACATCTTTCTTTTACTCGTAGGACGTACAGCTGGGGTCGCAAACACTGACGCGAGCAGCGCCGTGGGGTCATCGTTCAACAGTGTGCGTGAAGTCCATCGCGGCGCGACCCGGAGGCGCTCTGCGGCAGCGCTGCTGGCAAACCCATGGAAACCCTCACTCCAATCGCTGCATGCGCTCTGCGCAGCCGCTGGGACGCCGGCGCCGGCTGTTGGACTGCGCTACCGCAGACGTGTTCCCTTGCGCTTCGCGCTGGTGACTCACGGGTGACTTTGGCGCCAGAGGACTGCGGCGGCAGCGTTAGCAGCCACCGCACACAGTTCAACCTGCCGCACTTGTTGACGGCGGCTTGGATGGCGGGGCCCACAGCTCGTGATGCGTGTGCCCGACCTGACACCCAAGTGACCCTGGAGGGCGGCTGCGACGCACTGCTGGCGGCACTGTTAGCGGCGGTGGAGCGCTCGCAAGC